GTAGACACTTACCATAAGGTCGTCTTCCAGAAGGAGCTCCTTGGATGCCCCTAGCGACCCAGGGTCTGCCCCTTTGGGGGAAGAAAGCTGGCGTGGCCCTCTGTTCTTGGAATCCAGCTGTTCCAGTATAGAAACCTTGGTTCTGTCTTTATGAACCTCTCTGAATACGGCCGGACAGACAGCTCCTACCTCTTCCGGGCCCGGCAAAAACCTTTTGGTGGAATATCTTACGCATGTTATTCTGCATCTTATCTAGGGCCGTAAAGGTATGTACAAAAGACCCTAATTCCTTTACAAAGGAATCATCAAATAAAAGCCCTTTAGCCTGGGCCCCCGGCTCATTAATTGCTAGATTAACTAGCTTAGGCTCGATAGATTTGCGGCGCTCTGTAGCCAATGCTGAATTTACGTTCCCCACTAGGCAAATGATCCTTTGGATCCATCCGCGGATGACATCCCTGTCCAGTTCTCGGTCATCTTCGACCGCGGGGCCCAATATATCCAAAGCCTTGTCTTGGCAATTAGTCAGGGCAAAATCAAGGCCCTTCCTCAGTTTCCACCCGGTTTTCCCAAGGAATTGGGCAATTTTGGGGTCCGCAATGGGTGTTTTGCACGTGTCATCTGGGACCGTGGGACGGGGGCATTCTGCTTTCAATTTATTTCTGGTAGCCTTGTCTAGGGGCTTACACACTCTAGAGGCGATGTATCTCGCCACATGTTCCGAGGGACACCATTCTGCTGAACGCGGGTGTCTAAGTTCCTCAGGATCAAACAGGATCTAAAATCCCGGAGTCATCACCAGACCCCAACAGACTTACCTGTGCCCCTGACCGCATCACAGGGAAGGTGCTGAAGGAGGAGGTAGAGTCCTCACCCAATGCACCGTCGGAATCTGATTCGGACTGACCCTCTAAATCGTCCTTATCGGACTCATTCATTTCCTCCTCAATGTCGCTGAGTTCTGACTCAGACTAATCTAGTTGGGCTCTCGCCCCCTTCCACAGTCTAGCCTATTTTGCCCGGCTAGTGCCTCTTTTGCGGGGTGGTGGTTGCTTGCCATCTGAGACAGACGTGAGGCTGCACTCAAATTAGTTTTGGAGCAATGTTTGGTCTTAGCTGTAGCTTTGCGACCTTGGGGGACCGTTGGTGCCCTAGATGCAGTTGACATGTCAGTCTGCTGCGCAGATTGGTGGGCCTGCAAGATGGCCTGTGTAATACTGTGTGACAGAGACGTAGACACAATCGCCCATAGCGGGTGCGGGTCCTCCGGGTTACCCTGGGAAATCTGAGGGGTCACTTGTCAGACTGCATTATTATTGTGGGTGGAACTATTGTAACCTGTAGTATAATATAGGTTTTGTAACCCAGAATAGGGAAAAAGTCCTGCAAAAGGAAAACAAGTCACTTACAGAAGCACAGAGAGAGATAGAAAACCGTCCATTCTCCAAGACACTAAACCCCAACAAGGGGAAACCGGAAGGGGCAAGCTTATAGGAAAAAAAACACGTGAAATTCTGTAGAACGATAAAATTCCGCGAACAGCCCGTTTGTATGAAACAGTATGAATACTGATAAACTCCCGAACAGTAAAAAGGCGCGAACCGCAAAGAGACGAACTGTGCGGTTCGTCTAAAAACCATGCGAACGGAAAAAAGTATGCGAATGCACACCACATACAAAAAGAAAACTGGTGAATGCGAGGAAACTGCCGAACGGCAGATTAGACGAACTGTACTATTGCAAGAATCTTGGAGCAGGTAGACCGTTACATTAGTTGAATAAATGGCGCAAAAGTGCCGCAAGGCATGAAATGCAAGTAAAACGTTGAGAGGGATCAGATGATCTCAGCCATAGAGGCAAGGCCATGCCAGACACAGACATACACATATACCATGACAGACACACACACACACCTTGACAGACACACACACCATGACACAGATACACACACACACACCATGACACAGACAGACCATGACATAGACAGACACACACACACTGACAGACACACACACACACCATGACAGACACACACACACACACACACATACACCATGACAGAAATACACACACATACCATGACACAGACATACACACAACATGACACAGACACACACATACACCATGACACAGGTAGACCATGACACAGACACACACACCATGACACAGACACACACACACACCATGACACAGACACACACACACACCATGACTAAGATAGACCATGACACAGACACACACACACACCATGACACTGACAGACATACACACCATGACACAGACAGACACACACACACGTACCATGACACAGACACACACACACACCATGACAGACTGACAGACAGACACACACACATACACTGACAGAATGACACATATTACCTGTGGGCGACCAGCCAGGGGGTCGTACAGGGCAGACAGCTGGGTGTGCTGGCGGGCACGGAAGGAGCTGTGATGGCAGCCGCTGGGGGAGCAGGGATGGCGGCCACATGGTAAGCTGTGCTGTCTCTGCTCCCCCGCCCTCGCCCTCACCCTCACGCGCCCTCAGTCATTTTCCGGCTCCGGTCTCATTAAGTAGCGCGCGAGGGCAGGGGAGCAGAGACAGCACAGCTCCCAGCACGGCCGTCATCCCAGCTCCCCCAGCGGCCGCTATCCCAGCTCCCCCAGCAGTCCGCCATCACAGCTCCCCCTGCGGCTGCCAGCACACCCAGCTGTCTGCCTGGTCCCAGGTGCCGACGGCCCATCGGGAAATTTCACGGTATCCCGGTGGGCCAGTCCGGCCCTGTGCACTTGCAAAGTTACTTCAACTTGACTAAAGGCAAAGTAGCAGTAGCTCTCTGATGCGTGAACCTAAGAACTTAGCAGTTACAGACCTAAGGGTCAACATTTTTTTTTTTAAATTCTTTATTTTTTTGTGCAAGGAGTTAACAAGCGCGCATACTGCGCCACAACAGCTTTCGTATGCCACATTTCAACTATTTTGGTACAGTATAGATCAACAATGCACAGTTTTTATTTGGTTAGAAGTCCGGAAGCACTCCACGGGTAAACATGGTTGTGCCCTTGATATGGGCGTCAGGTTCTAGTGTACTGGCAGAGTGTCGTGATACACTTGTAAGATATAAGTGTTGGGCTCTCGTAGTTGTACGTCGTGGTGATTAATGTAGGACGTTATAAGTGTGCTGGGACCGTGGACCTGGGAGAGGGACCCAGCCTTAAGGGTCTTATATAGGGAAGTTGTAGCCCTGACGAACTCATAGGTACTACTGTGGTCAGTCGGGTGTGTCGTGTGTTAGTTTACACTCAGTTACCCCAGAGTGTTGGGGGGGGGGTGGAGGGGAGTCTCCGGGTTCTGTGCCCTCTTATTGGGACATGTCGTATGAGGTGTGCTAGCGCATGGGGTCATCGTGTTAACTATGCCCCGGGGACTCTATCAGTGTTGATTATAGCTGGATAGGAACTATACATTAAAACAAGAGCAATTAAACAGTTAAACAGAAATGGTGAGTAAGCATCTGGGACTGGTGTAGGGGTCAGTCCCTTTTCTTTTGGCTGCTTCAGTGTCAGCCGGTATCAGCTGCAGAGCGTGGGGTAAAAGGGACAATCCTGTGCACATCCCAGCTGTGACCCGGATGAGTCGTGCTGTCCGATGACTTGGTAAGGCCCAGTCCCTGAAGGAATGCTGCGGAGTCTTCTGCAGTGGGAAGCTGATGCATGCTCCCGTCCTTATGTACAATTAGGGAGCGAGAGGGCCCCCATTTGTAGCTGATGTTTGCAGAGCGCAGGGTTTTTGTCACCTGCTGAAAGGACCGTCTCCATTCCAGGGTGGAGCGGCATAAGTCCTGCAAGAATTGGAGTTGCATCTCCTCGAACTTCAGGGGTGTTCTGGATTTTATAGCGTCCTGCAGGGCCATCTTGTCTCGAAGCAGTGGGAAGCGTATCAGGACGTCTCGGGGCACTCCGGCCGGGGCCCTGTTTGATTTGGCAAGTCTATAGTATCCATCTATCTGTATGCCCTTAGCAGAGCGCTGCGGCAGTAGCGTAGTCCATAGCCGGCGTAAGAAATGGGGCAGTTCCTGTTCGGTGATTGATTCGGCTATGCCCCTTATTTTAAGGTTATTGCGTCTCCTCGCGTCATCCTGGGCATCCAGTCTGATCTGCATATTCTTGTGTGATGCTTGGAGCTGTAGCAGTAGCTCGTTGGTGCTTGCTTGCTTTTGGGCTAGGGACAGGGCCGGATTAACATAGGGGCTGATGGAGCTGCAGCTCCAGGCCCAGGCCCATGGAATAGGCCCATTTAAAAAAAAATAAATAAATAAATAAAATTATTATTATTTTTTTTTTTCTACACACTACTCTTAGGTTTGCCACCTGACTGGTATTTTAATGGCACAGACGGTATTTGAGGCTGCCTGGCCTTGCCAGTATTGCAGTAATACCAGCAATACAAATGCAGGTAATTTTCTCAGAATAAATGGAAATTACTCTGCAATACCACCACCGGCCAGTAGGGGTCACTGTGTGTGGAGAGAGGCAGGGCTAGGAAGTTACAGAATATCCCTGCCTCTCTCTACTACTCACTGATCCGTGGGGGAGCAGCTACACAGCACAGGGAGTCCAGACAGCAGCTCTACAGCTCAGGTAAGTGAGGGATCGGGGGAAAGGCAGCAGGGACACATGGGGACACTGAGACACTAGGGGACACATTGGGGACACTGAAACACTAGGGGACACATGGGGACACATACACTAGGGGACACTGAGACACTAGGGGACACATGGGGACCCTTAGACACTAGGGGACACAGACAGTAGGGGACACATGATGACACATACACTCGGGGACACTGAGACACTAGGACACAGACACTGGGAGACCTGGGAACACTGAGACACTTGGGGACACTGGAAAACATGGGGACACTTGGGGACATATGGGAACACAGACACTAGGGGACACTGAGACACTAGGACACACATGGGGACACTGCCACTAGGGGACACTGAGACACTAGGACACATGGGGACACAGACACTGAGAGACCTGGGGACACTGAGACACTAGGGGACACTGAGACTAGTGTCTCAGTGTCCCCAAGTCTCCCAGTGTCTGTGTCCCATGTCTCTCAGTGTGCCTAGTGTCCCCATGTGTCCCAGTGTCCCCATGTCTATGTCCACAACTGTCCCCATGTCTCCCCAAGTGTCTGTCCCCCAGCCAGTGTCCCCTAGTCTCCCAGTATCCCCTAGTCTCCCAGTATCCCCTAGTCTCCCAGTGTCCCCTAGTCTCCCAGTGTCTGTGTCCCTAGTGTCTTAGTGTCCCCATATGTTTCAGTGTCTCCATGTATCCCAATGTGTTCCTAGTGTCTCAGTGTGCCTGGTGTCCCCATGTCTCCCAGTGTCCCTATATGTCCCAGTGTCCACATGTCTATGTCCACAACTGTCCCCGTGTACCCAAGTGTCTGTCTCCCAGCCAGTGTCCCCTAGTCTCCCAGTGTCCCCTAGTCTCCCAGTGTCTGTGTTCCCATGTCTGTGTCCCTAGTGTCTTAGTGTCCCCAAATGTTTCAGTGTCCCCATGTCTCCCAGTGTCTGTGTCCCTAATGTCTCAGTGTCCCCATTTCTCCCAGTTTCCCTAAATGTCTCAGTGTCCCTGGGTCTCTCAGTGTCCCCAGTATCCTAGTGACATGGGGACACACTGAGACACTGGGAGAAATGGGGACACAGACTCTGGGAGACTAGGGGACTGGGGACACAGGGACACTGACACTGTGATACATAGGGACACTGAGACACTGGGTGACTTGCGAGACTGAGACACTGGGAGACAGGGAGACACTGGGAGCAATCCATCTATACAGCAGAATCAAACTGTGAGTAGTTTGGTGATTTTATAGAATTTTCTCTGATGTTACTCCTTGTAATTTACATCATGTGATGTCACGCATAACTAATTATACAAATTATTAAAGCTGTTATTTTTTTCCAAGAAAGGTGGCAACCTTAACTACTCTTCACATACTCTTGCTTAAAGAAGCACTATAGGGTCAGGAACACAATCATGTATTTCTGACCCTATTATGTTAAAACCACCACCCTGGCCCCTTCTTGCCTCCCTAAATATAGTAAAATATTACTTGTATTAAATTCTGCAGCTGCTGGCTCAGAAGTGGTGGTCTGAGCAAATTACAATACTTCCCCATAGGATTGGCTGAGACTGTCAACTAGGCAGATCAGGGGCAGAGCCAGCACAAGTCCAACATAGCCCTGGCCAATCAGCATCTCCTCATAAAGATAAATTGAATCAATGCATCTCTATGAGGAAAGTTCAGTGTCTGCATGCAGAGGGGTGGAGACACTGAATGGCAGTGCTGCACACTAGGCAGTACTGCCCCAGGGAGCACCTCTAGCAGCCATCTAAGGAGCAGCCAGTGGAGTTATTTTCTCTGAAAAGACAGTTTTTACTGCAAAAAGCCTGAATGAGATGATTCTACTTACCAGAACAAATACAATAAGCTGTAGTTGTTCTGGTGACTATAGTGTCCCTTTAAGTTTGGAAGCTTAAGAGGGATGTATTGGAACAAAACTTGTGTGCACTTGCTGACATTAAAGTTAGTTTAGGTAATGCAGATGTTGGTCTCTCTAACACTGTGGCATGTCCCCTTTCTTCTACACTCACTACAGACATCTTTTCTCTGTCTCAGACTATATACCAGGAACTTCTGCCTGCTAGTAAGAAGGTAAGGAGACAAGTGGACCAGCGAATGCTATGGGACAGTCCTTTGAAAGAATGGAATGAGCGCATCATTAGACACATTTATGTCAAGCTCAAGGTGCTGCCTGCATAGTATGCCCTTAGTTGGACAGCCTGCAGGATTGGCAGGCAGCCTGACATGCATTCATGCCAGGCTGACCTTCCAATTCTTTGGACAAACATTCCCCTTTTTGGGCATGTTCACCCCTTTTGGCAGGTCTTTTCACGTGATTCGTGCCAGTGGCACACCCTTTTACACCGCCCATTGACTTCCTGCTTCACTGGACACTGCTGTTAGGGGTTATGGATTTACTTGAAAGATGAAATCATAAATTAGAGAGGGATTAGCATAGAGTATGCGTTTTCTTATAGCTGCATTCTATGAGTGTCCCTCCAGCACCATCTCCATCAGATACATGACGCTTGGGAGGTATGATTGTTTTAGTGTTTTTGGTCAATAAGATTCCGTAATTAGGCCCATCATAATTGTCAGCACCAGGCCCACTGTGCTCTTAATCCGGCCCTGGCTAGGGAGGTGGTGGTGTCCTCGTTGGCCTGTACTCTGGCAGTCACCACTGTTATATCCTCTCGTATTACGTTCAAGTCTGCATTGAAAAAGGCTCTTATATTCGACATTAGAGCCTTAATATCCCCTTTAGTAGCTGGGGCTGTTAGATCTTCCCCTCCTTGTGGGCTGATTATGCTCTCCGAGCAGGGGATTTCATCCGCTGCGTCCAGAATTTCATCCTCCGAGGATATGTATTATGCATCTATTTGCGGCGCCATTTTGGGCCTAGGCCGCGGCTGTAGAAGGTCGGCGATATCGCGGGAGCCGTTCCCGGTAAGGGTTTTGAGCTTCTTTGCTTTCTTCCCCATTGTTTAACCCGATCTCGGGCGGGGTAAGGGTAGGTAGGAGCCCCGAAATCTGCCGTTTAGTATTCCAGCCGCGGGAGCTTAGCCGACATGCGACTGCTCTCTTTAGCGTTGAGACCACGCCCCCAAGGGTCAACATTTTATTATAGTTGTAATATAGAGCTAAGCCTATAGATGTCACCAAATTATACATTTAAATTTTTCTTGCAGAGATTAGACACACAGACAAAAATCAAGAACATGCACACTGTGACAAGTTGGTGGAGGAGTACAGAGCCCCCCTTTTCTTACACTCATTGAAGTGTAACTGCACAGGACATTAGTTGATCATCCTCATTATCCTCTGTCTGGTCTGACAGTGGCATGCAGTAAATTAAGAGGAGGGCAAATTACATAACCCTGCATCTCTGACAATGTTTAGAGTTTTCTGTAAGTCTAGGTAAAGGAAAGGAAGATCCTCTACTGCAGTACCAGAGGATCACACTATACTAGTACATGTCAGGGCCTGTAGTCACATAAACTAAGTCACCCCCTGCTCTGCAACCCCAAAATAAGGCATATATAGTTAGAATAATGAAATTATAAACTGGACATTGCAATACTAACAACATCTAAAAACATATTCATATTTAATGTAAGGCCCTGGGGAGTCAACACACCTAAACGGACAAGGGCACAAGTATGAGTGTGGGGATGGTGCTAGTGATTGGTTGTAAATGTTTAGGGGAGTGGTTATGGTTTTGTAGTGGGGCAGGGATCATCTTACTAGAAAAATGTTGTGGCAACTGACATTTAATGTGGATAAGTGCAAGATAATGCATCTTGGATGTAAAAACCCTAGGGCAGAGTAGAGAATATTTGATAGAGTCCTAACCTCAACATCTGAGGAAAGGGATTTAGGGGTGATTATTTCTGATGACTTAAAGGTAGGCAGACAATGTAATAGGGCAGCAGGAAATGCTAGCAGAATGTAAGTATACCTTTAAAAAAGAAATTGTGCAAAGTAGTGTAAAACCTTAATACATAGGTTAAAACAATACATTTTATATGGAACATTTACATGGTCCAGAGCTAATCAACCTAGCTCTGGCGACCTTTTCCCATATTGATTATTTTCGGTAGATTCCTTTTTTTTCGTGGTGAATCTCAGGATAAAAGGAATAAGTGGAAATAGTGTGATATTGCTTTAAGAGGAAAACTTAGTATGTGGTAGCAATTACAGACGTACCCCACTTTTAAGTAAACAATGGGACCAGAACATGTATGTAAAATATACGAAAATGTACTTAAAGTGAAGCAATACCTTTTTTCACTTCCCAATGCATTTACTACATTGCAATAATAATTTACAGGCATAACTGATACTGCAACTGCAGATTTCCAGTGATTTTATTTCCAGTGATTTATTTAGTGATTTCCATTGGGCTTTTTTTCAGTTAAAACAAACAGTAAAAAGAAAAATCTCATTCCAGATTGTACCATTTATCTTTAATGTTTTACTCATCTGACAACGTTAAACTGGGAGGAAAAGTAAAATAAACCTGCCCATTGGGTGATTTTCTTGTCAATATAGTGCCCATGGGCGTACGCAGGGGGGGTAAGAGAGGTCAATTGCCCACCCTGGATTTTCCAGCTTGTTCTGCTATTTTTCGTTTCAGTGTGAGAATACACTGCAATACTGGCGCCGGTCAGTAGGTGAGGTGTGAATGGAGAAAGGCAGGGAAAGGAAGCTACAGCTTATCCCTGCTTCCTTCTCCTGACGGCAGCACAGAGTACAGCCAACAGAAACAGCCTACAGATCAGGTAAGTGAGGGATGGGGAGGAGGGGGCAGCCTACAGATCAGATAAGTGAGACATGGGGGGGCAGCCTATAGATCAGGTAAGTTAGGGATGGGGGGCAGCCTACAGCTCAGGTAAGTGAGGGATGGGGGGCAGCCTACAGATCAGATAAGTGAGACATGGGGGCAGCCTACAGATCAGATAAGTGAGACATGGGGGGGGGGGC